TATTCAGTTTCTGCCGAGTAGACTTTGCGATACCCGAAGCGTATCCTGCGGGCATTGCCGGAAATTCTCGTCCATACGTACCTTGAGCGCGGTTCTTAAACATTCGTCCAAGAGCCAGGGCCCAGACGGCCAGAGCGCGTAAAAAGATGTTCCATGCAGTCATAAGCCCGTCTCGCCGTGCTCTACCGACGTCTCATATTCCTCGGAGGCCTCGAGCCGAAATCCCTCCACCGTCGGACGTCACGGACTAGAAGCGGCCGAGGTAGTTGAGGAACGCTCGCTTCAGGTAGTGAGCAGGCCAGCCGGTGCACCAGGAAGAGTGACAGTGATTGGAATGATAATTAGCCGAGCTCATCTCTTTGAGCTTCTCCCAATCCGTTCGAAGTCATTATAGTTGAGTCGGTTGGCAACTCGCGCGCAACTCGCGGCCATCTACTGCTAGCCTCGGGCTCAGTAAGTCCTAACTCCTCCTTGTAAACGTTTCTGCAGCAGTCGAGCTAGCTGCCGAGAGACTTTCCACAACGCTGTATCAAGGGCATAGGGGATGTCCGTTTGAGTGTCAAGTGAATCACAACTATCTTATTAGGGAAGCAAGGGTGACTCGGGAACAGAACTCCTCTGCGAAGACAAAAGACTCGCTCACAAAGACAATGTCGACGCTGTTCATGTTCGAGGACACAGAGAGCGAGTCCCACAATCGAACTTGAGCTCCTGGGGAGCTACCGATCGAATTGATCAAGTACAGGAATGGGAGGAGCCTCCAAATTGATTCATAGGATAGACTTCTTGGTTTAGAGTACGCTACAAAACGTCGAGAATCGCGAACAGTTTCCCACGGAACCCTGAAGATCTCAGAACGCAAGGAATTACGGAGAAAAAGCTTCCAGGCTGTAGATCAGCTTCCGCGGCTTTCCGTTGGTCGATCAGCGGTCGCCTCTGTACCTACGATCTCGATCTCTCTGCAGCATGGCCACACGAACCGCAACAAAGCGGCCCGCGGGGTCGGACATCCGTCAGACCCCACTCAACGCTACACGCGAGGTCCCGGTGTCGCCTCATCAGGTCGATCACCCGGTGTATACTCGAGCTTTGGAGCATCGAGCCGACATTTCCTCTCGATTCCCTTCCGACTGTCACAGGTATCGCAGCCGAACGCCTGGAGCTGATTCTCCGTCGAGCCACATTGGTGAGTCCATGAATGAGGGCAGGAATCCTTTATCCACGAATGAGAACAAAAAGCTTCCATTCGGTCTCCGCCTTGACCTGGAGCTCCGCGTGGAAACCTCCCTGTACAGAGAAACGGAACGATCAAGAGCGAAGGTTGAAGCAACGAGTTGATCAAGTTCGTAGTCCCCGGCGGACCGTAATTACGTCCGCCACTGTTTGCCTATCGAGCTAAGTACTTTTTTTCGCCACCGAGCAGGCAAAAGCAGCATTCGCGAACACCTGTCTGCCTCCCCGAACAAGGCAATCAATATAAAGCTTACTTGAGAGCAAACCGTCGATGCTTCTCCCCGTCGAATCAGAGCGAGTCCGCAGCGCGGTCTGAATCCCACTGGACCGTCTTCAAGGTCCAAAGTTGGAGAATCTCTCCGGCATGAATTCTGCGGCGAAAAACGGATACAACACAAACTTCATTTTGGAGAACCTCTGTTGGACAGACTCCTCGATCGAGGACTTTATGGGGCCTGAATCGCCCGCTCCGCCTTCGAAAAACACTCTCGACCAGGCGAACGCTTGCCGTCCGTAAACATGGAAACGGGTTTTCTAATATGTTCGAGGCTCAGCGAATTGTTTACCCTCGACGTCGTTAACCCCTCCCCCCCCGTTTCCGCAAATTTGAACAAACAGAAACAACGGGATCGCTAACCAGCATTGTTTGACGAAAAGCTTTGGCAATTTTCGACGACGAGTTTATGGCTCATATGCATGTATGTATCGCTGTCGGATCGAGTTCCGCTCATCGAGCGATTGTCAGATTCTCCGCGGACGAAACCCCTCCGGACGCTCTTGTCACGATTTCTCATGAGGTGAAATCCCTCTCCGAAGGAGAAATAACGTCGACAGAGTGCGCGAGCCGAGATGGCAATCTGAGGCTTAGGGCACCAATCGTCATCCCGTCCGTCCCTCGTGACCTTTACCCCTAATGGATTGGTATCGTCTGTCTGAGGTATCGCCACACGCCACCGATGACCGTCCCTCTCGAGGCAAGGACCTCAGCACTAATCCGTGGATCAGTCGATGTTACAAAGATCACGCCGACGGAAATGAGGTTGTTGCACTAAATGGTCGCCCACCCGGACAGCACTCGAGCGAAAGCCGTTTGATGTCAATCACATGCTCTGAGGTCGTTCGCTCTGGATGACCGACTAGTAATCCATCGTGTACATATCGGAGCGGAGACTAATTGTTCGCAATGCTGAGAACGATTTTTTCTCCCGCCTCTTTGACTTTGGCGTTTGGCATTGAGTTTGTGACACCCCCGTTGCGGAGGCAAGGCTGAGCCTGCCGGGTCACGCTTTCGGAAAAACTCGGACTCGTGTCGGATCTCGATCGGACGTCGCCGTGCGTTTGGCGATTAGTAATTCTGATCAAGGGTCCCTCCGAAGCGACGCATCGGCTCGCGATCTGCTGCAGGTCGTCCGGGGCCTCGACTGTTGGGATAAACATCAGAGAAACTATGCATCGAAGTCGTTATCGAGCGTCTGATTCGGAGACCGCGAAAACAGAGATAGCAGCTGCGTCGGTAGAGGAGGGATCAGGCTCTAGACAAGTCCCTTTGAAAATCTCGTAATACTGTTGATCTCCCGTCGCTGCCGCAGGAGGATTACAAAGCCCGTCCCCTCGCTTCCCCTAGTCAGGATCAGTAGGGATAACTTGTGGCTATATCTGGAACTATTCCTCACGTTTCTCGTAGCTGAGATGAGAAACTTGACGGGAGGGAGCGGATAGGGCCCCGCGATGACGTCTCTCGGGTCTCGGGGGGATCGACCAAGGCCAGGATGGACAACTCACCGTCTGCCGTTAGTGTCCATGGCCTCGACCAAAAGGCGCCGCGGGTCCCATTCTGCTCATCCTGAGCGAAAGCTGCGCCTTTCCGCGGGGGAGGCGCTAAACACTTAACGGGAGACCCTCATGTTGGATTTCCCTCCGATGAAAACTTGACGTGACGTCAATGAGGCCAGCTCCTTCCGACAGACAATGCTCAATGCAAGAACGATTTGGGTTTCGGATTCGAATCGAATACGAGCTCAAGGCTCTGCGCCTCGAGGCTCTCGAGTGTCCTATCGATGCCTCACGGGGCTCTGGAACTCCCTCAGCCCGTCCCGCATGACGCAATTATTTATTTGGCCAATGCGAGGAACGAGCCAGGTCGGGACCCGCGTGGAACTCGCCGGGGACCCTCAGCGAACCGAGAAGTTTCAATATTCATTTCCGAGGTCAGAGCGTCGGCGTCGAGGTCTTGTTGATCAACGTCCCGGAAGCGGCGTATGAGGAAAAACGGAACGAATCATCCATCGAATGTTTTCACATGACAGTGGATTCAGTCGCTGATGTTCCGTTGGGAACTGCTTTCATCTCGAAGCCGCGAGCCCCTGCTAGCTTGCTTGAATCATTCCGTCGTTGCTGCTCGGAAGAATACCAATGAAGGAGGAAGCTCAGAGGCAAGGGACTTCAGCTAGCGAGTTTGGAGGAGACGGAAGCGGCAACGCGGCGCGTTGAGTGTACGGAGCAAGTTTCGGAGGGTTTCGGAATCGGGGTTCGCCGTCCGAGCGTCAACTACTCACTTAGGTTGAGGGCCTTGAGGAAAAATCCCGTTTCACCGAAGTTCCCAGTCATTTGCATACATTCCGATACAGCGAGACGGGGTTGGCCCGAAGACGGCGCCGGCGATACGCTGCATATGCCGTCGAAGGTGTCCCAGAATTGAACGGCGTTAACCCCCACTGGCGGCGCGCGCCGAAAGCGCACGCGAAAACTTCTTATCTTGACGCTGTCCGGAATTGTTTTGATTTGAGTTCATTTCGGGGAAACGGGACGAACCGGAATCGGAACCTTCCGAGCTAGGAGCTATCCCTCCCTCCCGGTCACTATATGCAATTCCCGATCTGTTTCCAACCCGAGCTCGAACGAAAATGACTGGGTCGCCGGGCGGCCCAGCACTCGCTGGTATTCGATCTATCGACGGGAACGCTGCTGACTTCGGGACGTGAATCTCCGCGGAGACCTGGTGCCGAGGCCTCACCGCACGCGGTCGCCACGGCACGCAGCTCATTACTCGGATCGACCGGGGAACGCTGTCGACACTTACGGAATTCCCTTGCTTGCTTTTTGTTTGTCTTATCCTGCTCCTCCACGTCCTCGCCGGTTGGTGTGCGGCGCCCTCCAGCGGGCTCGGGTTCCATGAACAAAGATGTCTCAAGGATGCTGATGCTGCGGTTTCTGCGGTTGCTTCAAGACCTCTAATTCAAACACTCGTCCGCCTCCGGTCCGTTTCATTCCTCTTGCGAGAACTCCCTCAGCAGGCAACGCATTTCGTAATCAGGTCGATGAGCTCCCCCGTTTTCGGGGAACGACCTCATTCTCTTCCTGAAAACCTGCACTGCGATTCCATATGAATAGAAATGCAGAGTCGGGAATGAATTTCGAATACTGCGGAAAAGGATTCGAACCCAAGATTCGAGACAAACCGACCCAGTCGGCGGAAGCACAAGTCGGTGATGGAGTCCGACGTATCTTGGAATCCTTTCACGAAAGGCCTTACCGGAACGACAAGCATGACGTTCATTCATGAATACTCTGAATATCCTCAAAACGCTTTCGAGCCTGCGACATTGGACGCATATACATGGAAGCCACAAAACCGGCAATGAGAGGCCACGCTCTCCGCCCCCACAGGCTTCGCCATTGCCTCGGGGAAGCTCTTAAAATTCCAATTCCTGATCGACAGGGACGGCATTCATGAGGACGGTATCCGGTTTGCTTAAATTATCACTCTCGCATGCATTACTTTATTGTCATTATTATTTCCCGCAGAGTCTCTGTGCGCGGCAGGATTCCTCCATCTACCGAGGATTCGACGGTCGGCGTTCTAATAATTCGCCTCGGGCAGTTTGGAATGACTAAAGTTCTACCTGTTCCAGCCCGCGGGAAGAGGGCTGTCCCCATCATGGTAACAGAAGCTGATATTAACGAAACGTGATCGACGAAAAATGGCAGAGTACGCGAACGGCTTCCAGCGTTCCGAGATAACTCGTGATCTCGTTCTTATCGCTAATACTGCGCCGTCATCGTTGGTGTTGGTGGCTTCGGTGGGGCTTGCTGCGACGGTGGATTGCTCGACGCGGGTCGGGGTCGCTGCGGACTGTTCGGCGTCTCTTGAGGTGGCTGAGAGTGCAGCGAGGTTTCCTTATAGACGAACCATGAAGAACCGGCCCACAATATGATGTTGGTGAATCCTAGGATCTGCAAGAAGCTCATCAAATAATTACGAGAAAATCAAGCGTCGCAACATAAGGAACCCAGAGCCCCAGGACATGACCCAAAAGGATCCGAATGCATCTCGAATTCTGCGTGGCGCAAAGCGAGACGCGGAACACGCGAGAACGCGGGGCAGGTCGGCATATAATCTTAAGGTTGCCAGGGAATTCCATCAATTCCAGTCATGAATACCACGAGATCAAGTCATGATGTTGGCCGAGAGCTGAACAATGATTCTGGCGACGTCAAAGGATTCCAGAAATTCCACAATCGGACTCGCAAGACTTGATCGCTCGTAATCGAATCAGATGCTGGGCGACCCGTCATAAGAGGCGATACGGCATTCGCGGAACATGCTCTGAGCGGTCAAGGCTCTATCGAGTGAAGGGGACATTATTCGCATTCTGCTAGGCGACGTCCTCGGGGGAGCTGATCGTTGCGAACCTTGCTCAGATACGTCTGGAAATACTCACTGCAGCGATGTTGAGCGAAGTGTACTTGGCTTCATGAATCGGTCCGCAGTCCGCACCCGCGGTGCAAGCGGGTATCAGCTTCGCGAGACTCGTCGGATCCGAATATCTCTTGATCGAGCTCACCGCATCACTCCAGACACAGGACGAAACGAACCACAGCGATGTCATGACCGCAGTGACGCCGAAATCCTGAAAACGATTCATTATTCATTTTCTAATTCCATAATTCCCATTTCCTGATAGTTCAACGAATGATGCAACCACAATTTCATGGCTACAGAGGTTGAAATCAGAGCTCAAATACGCATCGTTGATTCCCGCTGTTACGACACCAAGTGTCGATGTTCAGGTGGTGCATCTGAGCTACCCTCGATCACCGGCCAGAATCCATGTCTGTACGTTGGAATCCCTAAGGTAGAGCTTGGACGATTGAGAAACTCCCGAGACCGTCGACAACTCGATATAATGTCACGAGCGGATACATATATCACGCAAGCGCCAGGGATCTCGAGAGGGGCAATCGGTATCTCGCGCAATCTTATTCCGCCTATCCGTATGCAGAATTTTCCCTCGTAGCTGGTCCGCCAGCGGAGGGAAAACCGCCTTCGGTCACCTAAGACAAACGCGACGAATCTGATTGACAGTGAAATCCCATACGACGAGAGCAGTGCGCCGGTGTTGGCATTTGTGCCGCCGACCATCTGGATGGAGAGCAATTCACAGAGCGCAGTCGATGGCGAATGGGTCCGATATTGAGCACTTGACTAAGTCGCGCGGAATTCTTTCTCCCATCTGCTCGACGACTCATATTTCGCTGTTTATAACGGCTCTGGCTCGATGAATCCAGAAGCGCATATACTCGAAAGAATTTTTTTTCGAGAATTCTCCTCGAGCTGACTCGTCGATGGGAGCTCGCTATCTCGTATCGCAGAACTCGAACGTCACAATTCGATCTATGACGAGATATAACTATAAATGTCCTACACGACGGTTCGGAATTGATAGACGTTTGTTCATTGATATCAAACGGGTCGTAAATATCCGTTGTACTTTTACGAGGAGAGCCACCCGATCGTCGTCACTATTCGATATCGGGAGAGTCGTCTGACTTCATTGAATCCGCGCGATATACTCGGAGAGTTGAGAACGGGTGCGACCATCGAAATGTCGGATATGTCACAAAAAGTTGCGAGAAGCGATCCTTTCGCTGATGAGCTGCGTTCACGGTGCGAAGAGCCTTCGCCCAGACGTCATAAAGTGGAGCGAAACACGGTTCGAGAATGGGCGTTCACTTCCTGACGAACGTTTGACTGATTCTGTGTACTTATTGCGCCCATCAAAAGAATGAGGACTGGAAGAAGACCCCAGCCACGTTTTGGAATACGTCTTTGAGTCGGAGTAAATCAATATTTGATAAGGAGCCGCAAGAAGAATGAGTAAGTACACGACAGCGCGGACGACTTTGTTCCCGGACTAATAACTAAGAGCTCATGTGCAAATCGGATTCTTGAGCCTGATATGTTCGTTCGTCCAATTTTTTTTTTCTGAAGGCCAGATCTATATAGAGACTACACCGTTCAAAAAGCGTTGCGTCCGAGGAAGTGATTGCCGTGTCAGCGTAGGCGGTAGTTCTACTCTAATGTAAATCAATCATGGGTCAGACTTCCCAGAGGCGGCGACGGTGCCGGTGGCTGCAAGAACGATACCGCTCTGCTGCTTGCCGCGAAGATGATGGTGATTGTTGTTTGATTTTGGTTTCGACCACACATTTCACACTGCGGAGAGGTGTGGGAACCCTTGAAAGAAATCTCACTCACCAGCAGGGGAAGCCACGTATTGTTTTCATAATATTCAGTTTTGCACAGGTAAACTGGCAGGGTGACGAGGCACACGAAGAGACTGAGGACCCCGACGGTCACGAAGAATTCGGCCTTGCCCTGAACACCGCAGGCCATTGACGGGACTCGGATCATCCTCGGATCCAAGCATCCTTCTGGTGGATCGAAGTCTAGCAACTCTGGACTGAGAAGAGATGAAATTCAAATTCAATTCGTATTCGGATACTCTCGGGGAGGAGATGAGTGGTCCTATTCGATTCGGACATGCATACATATATCGAGGCCTCCGAGAACATTGCGATCTCAACTATATTGAGCCCTACCTGAAAGGGTATGTCGATTCGACAGTCCACGTTTTGCTGTTGGCACCGCATTTCACGGTGACGTCCGAAGAGCTCTTGTAGCTACAGGCGATAGAGAACGCTAGGATGGCGAAAACCTGGAAAAGGGAAAACTTCGGGAACAGCGACCTCTGCTATGAGCTCCCACATAGCTCCCTTCAACCCACCCCCCCCTCCTATCCCGCCCGTCGGCGGAACTTTTTCGCGTAGGCCGGGATATCCGCCCGAATTCCCGGGTACTTCGTTCGCTCCGAGATCTATCCACTCTTTCCTCTCAATCCGTTCAGCCCTGTGCGGACTCAAAAATCTCTGTTGGTACTGCATTTCGACGCGCCCACGTCAAAGATAAAGTTTCCGGCGGGCGACGGAGCGGACGGTCTCGGCCTTCCGCCGGTGATGCAGTCAGTTCCGCCGACGAGCGACGAACGCCGCACCGATGCACTAGCGAGGGAATTCGGAACAAATTCTGTGAGTCTAGCAGCGACTTGTGATTCGCCGCTCAACTATGAGAATCCGCTACGACAGAGCGAAAGTGGGCGAGACGTCCGTCGCTCACAATGTCTGTTTGTGCGTCTGCCCGTCGGTCCGCCCGACAGACCGACTGTCGGTCTGTACGTCGGTCACTCTGTTCGTCTGACAGTCAGTCAGTCAGTCGAGCGATAAGAGAATTGGCTCCCTCTTGAAGCAAGTGGATCACCCATCGATGGAAGATGCCGTCGAGATGGTTCAGACGAAGTATTCTCCTCGGCGCGAGATAGTCGATATAGAACGCCGACCCAACTAGTTCTGGTCGGACGTCACCCTCCGCTCGCTAGATTCGCTCGGCGCCATTCGATTCGGTCTCCCGAGCCTCGGGAGCAATAATTTCAGACCTTCGCGAGCTGTCGCTAATCGACAGGCATCGAATTACGAAATGGCGTGACTTACCACTTGTAGGACGCGAATGAACCCCCTTGGTTCCAAAAGAGTCCGGAGATCGAGAGTGAACATTTCGACGGCATTGGCAACATGCGCGCGCCAACGTTCCATGTGGACGTTTCAACGGCGAGGGAACACTTACCAATGAGAATGAGAGGGAGAGAGGGAAGTTTTCACAACGAGCAACAACCAGCGCGACTATGGGATCACTATCGGCCGTCTTCGCTACGCTAGGGCCGTAGTACCATTCATCGGAAGGGCGTCGACGTTTTCAGCTCTGTTCTCCCCGCGGGGAGTCAGGAGGCTTCGAGTTCGATCGAATTTCGTGAGGGATCCGTGGTGGTCAGAGAGCGTGTGGAACGCTCGTTGAAGCACCTCCACGCGAATCTCGAAGCCCTCGTCCGAGTCTCTCGAAACCCTTCCGAGCGACTGCCTGGCTACCTGCTCTCCCACCGCCTACCTGTATTTTAGTAACTCGGTCGACATTTGTGTTTTTCGCTTATACTGGCAGCTTGTGAGGCAAGGTCGCCCTTAGCATCGTCTCTAGAATCGTTGCGTGCCGGCCCTGCGAAATCAAAACAAAGAGGCAACGCATCTTCTGGGAGAACACGCAGCAAGCAGTCTCGCCGCCGCTTTTTGACGGCTGAGACGGCATCCGCTCATCTCGAGAAGAGGCATTCCGAATCAATCTCGTCGAACTCTCAGAGCCGATTTCGCTAGAATCGTACGCTCGCTCACGGCTCGGGACTAGTCGGGGAGCGGTGCGTCATTTATCAATTCAATCGGGAACATGGCCGTTCGGGTAACTCGATGCGGGGGCTGGCGCCAGCCATGTTACTCCCTCTTACTTCAAGGCCAGCTGCCTGCGGGTCAGTCCACGCCCAGACCCCAGATCTGATGATCCCCTCCGGGAGCGACTCGGAATTTCCAAATCATCATCATCATAGGAAGAAGGTATGATTTGCTCAAGACCTAGTGCAGATTTCTCCGGAGCCCCAGCAAGGCCGTGGCCGAACGGTTTTACGGCGCGGCGACAAATGCCTCCACTCGACGGATGGGGCGGATAGGGACATGAGGACTGTCAACGATGGGCGGGGAGCTCTTCAGTCCCCCGAGGGGACGACAACCTCGTCTGAGGTGGATCGATCCATACAGGCGTTGAACTCCAGAAAGTGCGAACCGGCATCAGATGAAGTCGAATCGCCCAATCCTCCGAACCATTGGTTTCGGCTTATGGCCGAAAACCCAGAATAAGAGCCCATCAGAAACGCTTTGAAACCGCACTGGCACTTCCGCTTAGCCTCACAATTATGATCCGCCACTAGTTCCCCGCTCCTGGTGAATCGAGGGATATGAGAGGCCTCAAATCGCCTTCCAAGCGACTGCGCTGCCGGCGTCGCGGGAGCAGCCTTCGAGTATGAAACCTCAGATCTGGGAGTTCCGACTCGATCTGCCGATCTCTCACTTCCAAAAAATAGGACAGGGTTGAGGCTAGGTGGCCCGGATAGACGTTGACTTCTCTCTTGACTGATGCCGCTCTCGCATGACTTAGGATTTGATATCGAGAAGACATGGAATGCTCCCACGAACTCCGCTCCAGCGCCAAGGGGAGGAGGAGGTCCAGATCGATCCGATCTATTCGGGCCTTTGAGCAAATCTCGAAGTTGGCACTCAAGGATGCTCGATTCACCTCTGTATCGTCCAGCTCCAGACCTGCTCAGAGACCTGTGCGACGAAGTCTCGTTCTCTTTTGTCTTCCTGTTCCTCCCTCGCATGTATCCATCGACTCAGTGGTCGATTCAGCTGTTCCCCTCGTGTATACAGGGGCTGAAGAGAATATGGGGAATCCCAGGGTCGGACAAATCTCCTGCATACGATTTGAAGTCGGCGAGAGATTCGAGGGGGGTTGAGGGAGTCGTCCAGCTTAGGTCAATTCATTGAAAGATTCATCGTATGAACACCTCATTGATTTGGTCGGCTTTTCTTCACGGAAGGGCCTTATTCACGCAAGCCGAGATCCTAACGCATGCCTAGCTCTGGCGCCAGTCCCAGAAGGTGTTGAAGGACAGGGAACTTCAAAGTGCCGCGAGGGCCCATTCTAAGATAATCTTGGAAGCGCTCCACAATTCCGGTAATGAGACTGACACCCGATGATAACGCAAATATTTGGGCCTCAGTTCTGGTTTCAGTCCGGCGGGACGACATCGCGGGAGTATCACTGTAAATGTCTTCTGAGAACCCCGATCTAGAGTCTGAAAAGCTCGGATCGCGTGTGGATTTCCCTGATTCAATGGTTGAAAACACCCAATCGTCCCATTGCTCAGATCAGTAAGTCGTTCCGTGGCTCGTCACCGCATATTTCGTGCTAGCTGTGGCGCACGAATCGACCAACTGCGGAGTCCTCGGAGCCTCGCATAGGGGATCTGAATCGGTGTTTACGAGACAAGCGAGAAACCTTCCAGTTCAGAAGGATCGTTTTGCGCGAGCGGAAGTTCAGGACGGGAATCCGAACCGCAGAAACGAGAGAGGGCTTGGGTCCAGATCCAGGTGAGTTCGGGAGAGCTTCGCGATCATCCCACAGGCACTGAACAACCGGGGAACATTCTGCAATGTTCCACGGAATGAAGCTTATGTCCGCTGCATGATAGGGTACAGGTGCAACCGTTCGAAGAGCTCAACGAGGATTCTTCGTGTGAATACTGCTAGGAGATGATCTACCGACCTCAATCACATCAATCAATATTTCGAAAGCGAATCGACTGCTAAGATGAACGGATTGATCGCGGATACTGTGGAAGATCATGAGGAAGTAGGAGGCTCGGATCGTCAGATGAACGCTCACGAGGTAATCCCCTACGAAATGAGTGCAGCATTCCACGAAGAGGGAACGGTTTCGCCTCTGGAGGAGCTGTACAAGCTGAATGAGTCTCGATGTATCCGGACCAGAAATTTCTTCGAGAACGAATTCCAAGACGACCTCCCGATAGGGCTCCTCAGATGCGGCTCAACTCGGGCAGACTATCCGTTCGAGTTGATCAAATCGAAAGCAATATTCCATTATAGCATGCTCGGATTGGAGAGTCTTTACTCTCAAGGCAACAGGCTTCAGGGATCTCTCCATGACCTTGGATGCGCAAGCTCGGAACGGAAGCAGATCATACTTCTGACCGACTTCCAGAGTCGATCAATCTGATGAATAGATGGGGTTGGTGCTCATTTCAGTTTTGCGGAATCCGGTCGTCATCCGGGGAATCATCGCTGAGCCACCCTACGTTGAGACCCTTGTCTACTTCCTAGCCCCGCATCCATGGACGCCCATATATGTAGACTCACGTTCAGACCCATTGGGCTCTCTTTATCTCCTGAATGAAGAGACATCTTTTCCCTACTGCTTAAGTTATGGGCATTTATTGTTGACAATCGGAACAGAATCCACAGTGATTCTCGCTCATGCAATATTTGTCTCACATTCACCGTTCAATCCGTCGCGAATTGAGAATAAATCCAGTCCATAAACCTGCCTCTAGGAATTTCGCCCGAGCTTTCGGTTTGCCATCAGAATTTCCAGAATCACAGAACCTAAAATCGTTCTCAACTCTGCTATCTCGTTTCCATACCTACGAGATAGAAGGCTTATTCCGACGTCGCTCTTTTTAAATTATTTCAATCTTTATAGTCATCGTGACAATTATTGTTTCTTGTTGTTGCTTTCGATAAATATTATCATCGCCCCTCCTCCCGCTTGAATACTCGATGCGCTGCTACTATGATCTCATGCTCTATCTCTTTCCCGAATAGTTTCCGAACCCGGAATGGAACGCTCGTAATTTCGCTTATTCTTACTCATGCTCGCGGTACGCGCAGTTCCCGGCGGATAAATTTCCGTATTTCATCGCGACAGCCTCGGCTTCACCCGCTTGCTATTCCTTCGAGCTTCGTCGAATTCTTCATCTCTCTCCTCCACTCGGGAGTAAGCCCGTAGACAGAAGCTTCCGTCTCTCCAACTCTTACCATATATCCATTGATCAGTTCAAAAATTCATCAATCAGCTCCTCCGGAAGCATCAGTGCCGCGCCCCTCAAAATTTCAAATCATCTTATCGAGCTCATCCGATTCTGTAAGTCATTCTGATAGCATCTATTGCGTCGCCCTCTGTTCCGAACGGACCCAGCAGGTAGAGTCGTCTGGAACCACCCCTACCAAACCTCTGGCGAAGCCTTTGTCTGCATCGCATGATATGGTCGAAAGCTGACATTGAGACGTCTAAGCCCACGAGGGTTTGACCTCCGTCGGCGGTAAGACTGGCAAATAAGTCGCCTGGCAACTCTTAACATGATGGTATATCGATGTATGATACGCGTCACAATGAAATAATACCAAGAATTCCAGGAAACATTGTTGACTCGAGACCGTCGTCGTTCTTTTCAATATACGATTTCCGTTTTCCTTCAAGAAGTACATCAATTCCGTTCGCAGGAGAACACGACCTGGTCCCAGTTATAAGTCTCCTGAAGATACTCGAGCGACCATAGTCCACACCGGGTCGAGAGTCTTCAACACCGCTCGCTAGGAGGAGTAGGTTCCTTTCTCCCCTCTTCTCACAGCAGAACGAATCGCCAGTGCATTTTTCCTGAGCGAAAATTCATGAACCCAACCAGTATCGGCTGGATTTACCGATCTTGTAATGGGGATCCGCTCGACATTCAATATTAGCGTGCGACGGTGCTCACCTCTTTCATCGTCGACTATATAAGTGTGTGTCTACTATTATATGTGTGTCTGCAGGTTGATAAATTGATACATGTATATGAGACAATATCGCTGATAGAATAGGCATAAGTATATGTGATCACTTAAATTGATTGAAATTCTCCAGGTCGTGCACATGCTCCGAGTGGCTTTGGCGCAGCCAACTACCCCCTCCCCCCTAATCTTGGAGTGAAATTGTTGAGTCATTCGCGAATGGAACCCAGTCAAATTCTTGAGGGCATCTCGCTCCACTCATTCGAAATTATTCTGAGGGAACGAATCTTAGAGTTTCACGAGAATCGAGATGGGATACTCGAGGTCACAACCTACGAAAATAATGCATTTCTCTACAAAAGATATACTTTCAATCTTTCGGGACCACATCCAAAGAAATCTTCCCGTATTCAGTTCCAAATCAGGCTCCTCGTTGATTTGAATCGATACGTATCAAAGACAGATTCTCTCTCGCTGCTATTCCTACTGAAGTCACGCAGGAGCGCCTCGTCGCAACGACTCATGTCGCAGACATGCGCTTCGTTCTTCATGAAGCAACGCGAGAGCGCATGGTCGCGTCATGCGTCTGCGCACAACGCTGTCTCAATGTTACAGTATTTGGTTTTGTTGAGTGGTGATCGATTCATACATAGGTGGAATATACGATATGAGAGATTGAATGATTTTTTTGCTGTTTGATTGGTTGCTCTAAAGACTCCCGTTCGATGGCAAGCCTCGATTAATGGCAGAGTGAATCGGGCACGAAAGGAATTCATGTTCTCGGTTCAGGAGGTCGCATTTGATGAGTCACTCGGGAGAAGTCACTACGCTAGAATACGAGGCCCCCAGTCGGCAAGTTCGAAGTATCTCGGAGATGTGTGGATGATGTGATGGTAAGTGATTGACTTGTTGGTACGAGAGGTTCGATGGGCGCCCCTATCATTTTGCTGGTTTCATGCGTTCTGCTGGTTTTGGTGGTTTTGCTGGTTCCCGCTGGTATGCCTCATGATGTCGTGAAGCAACCCACCTCTCGAGATCGCCAACCTCGGGAACGCCGTCTACCTAAGCGGGGTGTTCCGGGAGTCTGCGCGCGAACCTCCTCATGACCGAGAGTAATGATTTCTTCGAACTCAATTAAAATTTCCTTGGTTTCGAAGTCGTTGTCTTCACCTGTCACGAGATCCGACGAGGCTCACTGTGGGTAATTTGAAATTTACCTAGTGGTTTCACATATCATATGAACAAAATCAATATTCATGTATAACGTCTCCCGCCTCTGCAGGATCGCGATGATACACAAACAATCGGTGAGTGCTCCCCGTCAGAGGTAAGCGTATGTCAGGGCCGCCAATGAACGACGGATCCGAATGATTTCTTAGTTTTGATGCATCGATCTATCAATGAGATCTCGAGGCGCATCGCTATGAGTTTGGAAATGGGGTCAATCATTCCGATCGCTCGCTCATATATAACTCCACTTCAGCTCAAGGCGCGGATTTCCTAGAGGATTATGATAGAAGTGAAACGTCGCCCCAATCGGCGGAAACCTTCTGGTTGGACCAGTCTAGGCAATAAGATGTTTTCGTTCGTGAATTTGCTTGCACCGACGAGACGCGTGTGTGAATATGTATATATGTATAACTTTTCACGTCAAGAGCGAGCGGAAGAAGTATCGATAGACTCGACCCGACGGCAGGTCTTCAGGTATCTCGGAGGGATCGATCTGCTTGCTTCTCAGCGAGGGAGCAACTGCGTAGGCAAGGAATTTCCCTGCTGCGCTGGTCAGAGCGCTCTCAAAGAACTCAGTTACTGCATGGCGTCGCCTGCGTTTGCGCTCTCCGAGCGGTCAATTGTAGGTGCCAGTGTGAACTCCGAGTTCTCGCTGTCGATTCCGGACCGCCGAAAGAGCGTAATCCCCAAACGAGGCCAATATCACAAAAACCCAAAGAGGCACGTAGGTGGACATCCGACGTGAAAGTTGTCGAACTATTGTCGTTCATGATCGATGACGGAGTCGTGGATACCCATGGTTTCAGACGACTCGCCATGGGGAAAATATATTGGGGAAAAAGTTGATATCTATAATTCGGACGACTCATCCGTTGGACTGATGACTCCGGTTCGTCGACGCGGAGGGTCCATGGGGGACGCTGACCTGGCCAGCCCCGGGCGATGGGTGCCCGGAGATTGCCCGGCGCTCAGCGATATTCTCGCCAATGGGTTCTCGTGCTCAATGTTCGTATCTGACATCATTGAATCATGATGATTTCCGTGATGCGAGCTTCATTCCGCAAACGCCCCCCCATGAGGCTATACTCCGATCTTATTCCTAGCTCTTGAAGAATTTGCGGACCCGCAGTCAGGAGGAGCATGGCGGAGCCCCCATAATAGTGAGGCGGGAGCCTCTAGCTAACCCGATCTTAAATCAAAGTCCTCAGTTCCGATAAGGAAATCATTGAAATCGAGAAAACGTCGCGCACCCTTGATACTCTCTTCCATCATCCCTGTTTGCTGTTGTCAGCTGCCGTCTTTGAGGGTCTCTTCTACCGCCGGGAACGTATGCGGAGTACTTCCGAAAAAACAAGGGTCGATTGGCTCGGTAGGGAGCAAACTGCCTGCTGGTACTTTCCGTTCAGAACGAACGCGCTGTCCCCATTGTCCTCCTCTCACTTGTGCCCCCTAAATTATCTCAATACACTCTCTGCTTTCCTACCGGATCCCAGATTATATCCCTTTCCTCTCCACGACATCCACTTGCGAGATTCTCTTGATGACAGCTTGACTACCGGGTATGCATCTCAGTTCCTAGACGAAAATTAATCAGTCAGTAAACCCGCGGGAACTAGCTTTCGTATCACAATAAATAATTGGGTGATCATCCGCCAAGCAATCAGCCGAATATAATCGACGCATGACATATAGTCGACGGATGCTTCTTGGGGTTGATAAGAGGGTGAGTATATCGATCAGCACTCAATACACGATAGGGCTAGAACAGAAATATCTCATCCTGCTCGATTCCCAGTAACGAACGAAGGATGCGTGATACTAGGACCGACTCGGGGTGACAATCATATGTGTGTTCAATATTAGCTATCTCCCGATCACCATTTCTCACAGATATCCGAACCGACACGAATGTGGATAATGAGATAAAACGCTCACTCTTTCAATCCTTCTGCTTGTTACGAACGAATAGAATAAAAAAGTCATCAAAATTAATGCACTCGCTGATAAGTGCGGGATCTCCATGAAGGAGTTATCCATACCATCCAACTCCATTTGGACTGTCGCGTCCTTCAATTAAGGGGATTTCTTCTAGAGTTATAGCTCATCTGCTAGATTCCCAGCGCCGTTGCCGGCGTTTCCCCTCCCGCCAGAGCGCGAGTTTTGTAATGAGGGGATGTTAATGGTTCATTGAAACCAATCCTTTTTCCTCGAAGACCGAGTCCTCGCATCGATGATCCTATAAACCATCAGTCGGGTATTGCTTGGTGATTAAAGAACATAATCGATGCCTTCAGGAGAAGCCGTAGGTCAAAAACGGCGGTGTGTCTGATTTACTCGAATTCAAGAGTACCTCGGATCACACCACAGGACTGATCATCGGCATCCGTGACGGCTACATCAATCAGCCTACACTCAATTCACGCTTCCATCCATATCGGTGTGTTCCAGACTGGATGCACATTCTTATAAAACCATACAGTGGGTGGAAGCGTTTGTACCGAAAGTATATTTTAATCAAGTTTCCTCCTGGTCTCCATTGACCCAACCCAGCTCTCGGCCGAAGCCGAGATTTTCAGATCGGAGATCGTCTCCTCTCCAGAGCCGCTCCGGAGGTAAGTCATCTATTCTATACTTTTTCCACAGTCGGTTTCTCCGTGCTTCGTGTATGCGGAGATCAGCTCGCAGGGTTATAGGCTCTTCACTGGTGTCGCTTCCGCACGCTACCTGGTTATCAAATTTTCTCTCCGCGTTTTTCCCTCAATTAGATGGTTCGTGAGTATGGATCCGGTGAGGGATACGACATTGAGACTCACTGGGATCCGTAGCCGATAGAGATCGACATCTGAATCCCGCATCCGCTCTGCGAATACTCGCAGGGTTCCCGATCAATTTCCGAATGACTTCCCCAGCCAAACAGGCATGTGCGAGTCTGGCCAATAGACACAACTCTTTCGTCTTGAGCCCGGCCGTCTAGGGCCGATGAGCCACAGAGGACGCTGAGGCCGCGCAGGAAGACTTCACGAGATTGTTGGCGCAATCAACGAGTGTTATGTGTCTGTTTCCGTGTGTGTCTCCGTGTAACCAAAACTCAACGAATGATATCAACTCAGTGAAGGTGTTCCGTCTTTCCTCTACTCCGCAGTACACAGTAGTATCAGTAATAGGCTTTAAGTCAGAACCAACAGAATATTCATTTGCACGGGTTTTTTGTAGTTTTTTGTAACGAATCCTAACGACGACAAGGCCTGCATCTGCTCGATAGACCGTCAGTACGAGTCTCCTAATCGGGACTGACCCAATGTCGACGAAAGTACTTCGGAGCGTTTGATCCAGAGGCACAGCAGTAATTAAGTTCGTGGTCGTTATCCTCTCATTCAGTTCAGAAATATTCCAGTCCAACCAGTGGATCAAGCGCTCCTTCGTAGAAGACTTTCAAAACTTCAATAACGAACCCAATCCTAGATGGGTCCCGTGATTCCCTCCAAGGGATCTCCGTAGAATCTTTCGTTTAGCTGGCTGAGTGAGTTGATGAGTTCGGTGGTTAAGACACTGTGATGTTTGTCAGAGAACCAAGCGCGGAGCAGAACTTCGTTGCCTCATACGCGTTTCTCGCAAGAGTCTAGCTGTCGATCCAGCGAATTTCCTCTCGACTTAGGTCGTCGAGAATGATCGAATCATATCCGTCATCATCATCATCATTATAATCACCCATGAAGATATCTGCGGTAGCATGGGAACTTCGACCTCGTGCCACGTTCTGTGCGGAGTTCTTTGATTCGTGGAATTAGAAGAGTAACTCAGATCACCGTGGGAGGACGCCATCAATTAGAATCGCGAATTTTGCGTCCACAGCCGAGTCTTGGCGCGGGGAATTTCCATTCTCTGATCGAAAATGCCGTGTTCGGCCGGAGGTGGCAGGAGATCTTCTTTCGATGTCAAGGATTGGTGTGATAGAGCCTCCTAGTACTGAGGCTGTTGGAATTGACCCTGCATAGGCTGAGTCGGCGACTGGGGTGGATAGGTCGCGCCGACGGGAGGATACTGAGAACCTGGAGCGCCTGGGGGTAGCTGTTGGCGATGCAGAGCCGTGTCTTTGTATACGAACCAAGTACCGGCTGTCCACAGCAATACGCAGGTGAAGCCGAGAAGCTGGAACGAACAAGTTTTACATGAGATTCGGGGATGCTTCCCTCGAGATCCGAGACGAAAATCGTGACGACTCGACGGCGCGATCCTCCTATGCGTCAGCGGTAGAATACCAAGTTGTTGCTCACCACGGATACGTTCAATGAAGAGTAATCGGCAGCTTCGTCCAGGTTGCATTTCTCGGCGATCATGTCCGCGCACACAGGTATACGACTAATAATTCTGTCAGGTGACATGTAGTATTTCACGTCGGACACTCCTTGCGCCCATGCGCACGTACCGGCAAACCAGAAAATGGTGAAGACCGCAGTCACACCAAGGTCCTGGAAGAGTTCTACCATGAAGATTTCCAGCGCTGTGATTTCTGCATGAATTCCTACGCTCAACGGGGAGACCTACCAGGATGGGGATTGTTTGGTTAGATTGGTAGAGAGCCGTTCGCAAGACGTAGACGGCGACGGCGGCTGAACAGAACATGAAGGAAAGAACACCGCAGGCAACGAAAAACTCCGGATTCGACGACAAGTTATAAGGCAGGATCACGGCATCCGTGCCTGTCGGAACGCAATCTCGAGGCACGTCGAACGGAGAGTATGCCATTCTGTGAAAATTGAAAGTTCATTGAGATTGAAGCTCGACAGCGATATGCGTTCTCATCTATTTTTACTCTCCCCGCGAATCTCTCGGATCGGAGAAGGTTACCCTGACTTGCCTGAATGGGTAGCCGAATTTCACAGTGACTGGAGCTGTGAAATTTTTACATTCTATTGTGATTTTTGTCGTGGTAGAGAAGCCAGCGGTGATCGAGAACGCAAATATGGCGAAGAACTGCAAAACGGAAGAATATCCTGTGGGATCCTATAAATCGCTGAACTTTCAGGATCATGTCGCGCCGATCCTTCTTGATTATCCTCCTCCTCTACATTCTACATGTAATTCGTCGTCCGTTTCACTTGGATGAACTAAACGCTGCGCGTGTTCTATTCGGATATTCCACCCTTACGATATGCTCATCCCTTACCGCCTGCAAGATGCGGATGAAGCCGCGCGGCTCCTTCAAGGCTGAGAAGTGCATCTCCATTTTGAGTCTGAAATGAGAAGATATTCCCTGACGTCATATTGTAGCAGAGGATGTTCTTCGAAGAGGGGGTGTATCGTGACGGAAATTCTTTAATGAGCTCCTCTCCCATGATCGGTGCCCTTTAGTGCGAGCGACTCATTCGATCTTATTCCGCACTCCGAAGCTCGACAATCATGTCGTCGTACTCATGGGGTCAGACGCGGTGCCTGAAGGTCCACAAGAATCCGGTCGGCTTCTTTCGCGAATGACCCTCGTTCGTGCCCCCCAGTCGATGCAGCAATCATAACTAGAATACGCATCTTCTCCATCCACCCCAATGAATCGACCTTTTTGAACGAGGTGTAGCTGGGAAATAATCGATACCTTCGTTCCAAGGCTCTGTCGATGGTTTGGACAGCCGAAACCGACTGCTATATTGAAGGTTGGGAACCCGTGACATCCTGTTCGAGCTCCATCTTCTCGAGCTTGGTGGGAGCAGCGCGCCGCGCAGCGATGTGAAACTGATGTGGTTCTCTTCAGGAGCAATCTTCAACACCTCGATTATGCCGCTGGATCGTTTGATGATGTCATCTCTGATCCCGAATTTCACGGGGAATCGAAACGCTATGCTCCCTTGAACTCTAGGTATGCCGAGCAGTCGCTGATTGATTTGTTCTTAATGTCCTTCGGAACCTGTCCGAGCTCGGGAGCCTCAAGCGGGGAGTCCGTTCGTTCTGATCGGTTCGCGAACTTCGCCGACATGTCCTTGAGAGGATATCTACGTTCATCGGCGACTCAATTGAGCGGAAAGTCAAGGGTCCTATCAGATGATTGAGCGCGCGACTATTGATCACGCTTCCGGAGACCTCTCACGCCATCGGCAAGGAGTGAAATGACTCAGGCCTTTGCCTGAGTCGGCAGTGCTCCCGCCAGAGCGGATTCAAAGACGCGGTTCGCATTCGAAAAGCCGATACCACTTCGATGGAAGACGTGTTTGGCAACTGCACACATGATCGCTCGTCTACAAACGCGACACATGGCGAAAAAGGATGGGTCGACGACGGAGCCGCAAGTAGGCCTACGGTCGAGCGCATCTCCACGTCAGAAGTCGTAATCGTCAACCATACAACGTCATATGAGATTGTTGCACAAATAAGGGAAAGCCCTTGTGGAAATGTGTCATCGAAGCGCAGCGATGACAAACTGGGAATTTCGAATTTTGGCGCGTGTCATGCAAGCGATGACAGAGACAGCCGATGGGAGAGGGTAACAGCGGCCTGTAACCGCCGCCGCTGCCTCAGCCTCCGCCAGGGCAGGCGCCGCCGCCGCTGCTGCCCAGACACCACACCACCACACCACTGTCGACGACGACGACGACGATAAGACGCCATATTGAGGGCGGCCGGCGGTAGTTTCCAACCGAGCAGCGCCATATTGGTAGAACTCGTCGGCGAGTTGTGAGCAGCAAGCATCCGCCTAGAGTGAGTAAGCAAGTCAGTCAGCCAGTCTTGAGCTACTCGGGCCTTACTTCTCGGGCGTTTCTGTTCGAGAGCTCTGTCGAATCATCTGTGAACAGCGGCGTATGTGGATTGTCTGGTGTCCGAACAGCGGACGGCCGACGGTTAGCAGCAGCAACAGCAGCAGCGAATAGCAGCGATCGGATTAGTTGTACGAGCCGCCGCCGTTGCAGCGCAGTGTACTTGTGTAGAACTTTCCAGAGGTGCTCCACGCCCATATAAAGTTCAGCATGTCTTGGCAAGCGTACGTCGACAACCAGATCTGCGCGTTCGTTCAGTGCAAAACGGCCGCGATCGCCGGTCTCCAGGATGGCTCAATTTGGGCGAAGTACGAAGCCACGCCGGCGAACGTTATCACACAGGCCGAAATGAAGGCGATCATCGACACGATGCGCAACAACCCGAGCAAGTTTCTCGAGAGTGGAATTCATCTCGGCGGTGAGAAATATATCACCATTTCTGCCGACGACAAACTCGTTCGAGGACGTAAAGCAACCTCGGCGCTGATTGTCGTGCAAACCAACACCCTGGTGCTGGCAGTTGCCACTCAGGACGGCTTCCCCCCTGGTCAGCTCAACTCGATCGTTGAAAAACTCGGAGATTACCTCCGCAGCACTAACTTCTAAGCAGTGTCTCTTCGTTTGTCGAGTGTTCTGGTTCATCGTAGTCTCCGGAGTCATTTAAACAGCCAACCAATCAAGCGAGCCAGTCAGCGACCGAACAACCAGTCAGTCAGTCAGCCCGGCTGCCTGCCTTTCTGCCGAATTCCCGATTCGTTCGGAATTGCTCCGACAAGCATGCGTCGTAATCTTCGCCGTTCTTGCCCTCATTGAAGTTTTTCCCCGCTGAAAGTATATCAGTGAACTCCCGCAGTCTCTCGAACTCTCCTGTCTGCCGAACCAACCCGACTCCCGAAACTCCCAGGAGCACCCTCAGCCTCTCAGAGGACCCAACCCTCGGAAGAGCTCTGCTCCGGCTCGCCCGACAAGCGGGCAAGCAGGCAGGCAGGAGAACGGACTCGGGAGAAGGAGGGTGTGGGACTGCTTGGCTTGGGAGCGATGTATGAGTGAACTCGGAGGCTCCGTACGGTGGAACGACCGACGTCGTGTCAGACACTCGAACGCTCATTATTCGGAACCGATTCAAAACGGCGACTGAGGTGAACTTCGCGAATACGGGAACACCGGCAAGCCTGCTGAAGAATGAATGGATGAATCAGGTGGAACGGAGGACAACATCAACGCAATGAACCAAGCTAAAAATCGCAAATGAAGAAATACCACGATATTCAACAACATAGATCGATATGAACGGAATGGAAATGGAGGAGAGCCGCAGCGTCAGCAAGGAGGAGCACGATGAGGAATCGCGGATCCTTGGTTAGCTGTGCAGAAAAGAAAAATCAGCTGCGGAAACGAGGAACGACAGTGGAAATTTTCGTTGTACTTTTGTTTACCATTTTTATCATTATATAATGAAATGATAATTGAGAAGATGAATGGAGAAGATAATTTCCTTGTAATTTTCAATCGGCGATCGTGCAGTCTGGCACTTCCGCTAGACGGTGAGCGTAATCCTAGGCTCAAAATTTCAGGGGACTTCTGCCTCAGTTTCCATGTTTGTTTGCTGACTTTCCTTTTTCGGATGCTCCTCTTGACACGAGGGTCGGGGTTTCAAGGAACAGAAAAATTTCTTTCGCTCTGAGGAGCTGCGTATCCGGAAGAATTTCCCAAGCTAGATTAGAGGGAGGAACGGTTCAAAGCATGGGGGATCATTTTCCGGGATTCCGGGCCGCATCTCCAGTCTGCTCTCGGGGTGGAAGCTACCGCATGCAACGCAGTATAGATCAGTTATCCGGGAACTGTAGACGCGCAGTTCCATGCCTCAGGAGGGCACTCAGGAATGAGTGAACTGAGGAGGAATCTCAGCGGTGAATATTCCCCAACTTGATGACAAATGCAACCCGCCGTTCCTTTCTCCGAGCGAGTATCTTAGTCAAAAGTGAGAAAACAAGGAGCCAGTTGATAGTAGCATCCCCAAATCCGCTCACTTCTATTCGATATGAACTCGATTCGAGTTCTCTTCCAGTCTCACCTCCCATCTGAGGGCTCAACCATTTGGCGTAGGTAGCTGCTCCTAGATCGGCTGGTTAGGTAACCCGAGTAGAGTGACAACGAATTTCCTTTTCAACTTGTCAAATAGTGATCGAAGATGACGATTGTCAACCGAGACATCGACGAATTATAATCATTCATCGGTGTCTCTCCCGAAGGATGCTCGGTGCATATGGTAGGCAGATCGTAGAAGCTTGTGTGAGAATTGAATCGCCCGCCCGAAAGGCGACCAGCAACACGTGGAAATCTGTCGTTTTCCCTATTATACACAGGAGTTGAAGCGATCGAGTTTGAGTATTCGCCGATCAGCAGAGCAAACGAACAGAATGCTACTTCTTTGATAACCCGAAAGACAACAAACGCAGATCAATAATAAAGGAACAATGAAGAAGATCATTGAAGATTGAAATTCCTCCTCTTCGAGCTATATTGTGAGAGAGTGCCAAATTTTGGACATACTGACCCAAATAATAGCAAACTTCGAAGGGAAACATATTCAGAATGGACTTACGTTACCATCTCTGAGTGTAGGTGTCTACTTTTCGAATTCATGGTGATGACGAAGGTCGATGATGAAAATAATGATTATTATAATATTGAATGATGATAATTACGAAAATAAAGGGAGCAAGAAGTCTGAATCCCATGGAGCTTGATTACGATCGGGCAAACACCTTCCGGGGCAAAGAGTCGAAACTGTTGGAAAGAATATATTTTCAAAGGATCGCTGGAGAGCGGGGAGTAGTGTGTCCCAAGGATTCGGGCTCGGGGCGTAGTAGCTAGGTCCGACAACAGGGATGGGACTCATCGGAGCGGGGCAATTAATTATCCCCAATTCAGTCGCTCGAACACAAGTATGCGTGCCGTCTCGCGGCGGTCACCGACATTGCGGTGACAAGCAAGTACCAGCCGAGAGCTTGTTCTTTCGTCGGATGCGGGAATCGACGTATGTACAATGAACGACGTCCCTCTCGCGTCCTGTTTATGGAGTCCGATTCGTCTTGGCGACTGCCACAGCGTCCTGTCTTCGCCAGCCCGGAGTCTGGAGGGCGCAGACGGGATCGCCGAACGATTCTGACTAAGTCATATCAAATAACTTGCTCCTTCAGATTTCCGAGGAGCGCGGAGCCGAAACACCGGTGTGGTCTTCGATCGTGTTCTCCTAATTTTCGTAAAAGACGCCAGTTCCAATTCTTCGATTTTCTGGAGGGATCGGCGTATCCCGCCGTCAACCCCGCGACCCTCTTGCATCGATGAACGACGGCAAGGGGAAATTCTGGCGAGAGATCCGGAGACGCCAGAGGTCAGTAGCCGGCGAAGAGACAACGCAGGATTCTTTGCAACGATGTCCTAGCTCTGGCAGCAACCAGCTGATTCCAGTGATTATCCGTTGGGTCGGAGCAAATAATCCACGCTCCTCACTCCGGAACTCAAAAATCGGAGGGGAATTATAATACGGCGCGTGAAGCGCACGGTGGGTGCGATAAGCTCCACTGCAGGCCGGGCTACGTGGCGAGGAAACGTTGTGAACCATTAAAACTCGGGCAATCAGCGCTGAGGCATCCGCTATAGGTAAGCCTGTGGCTGCTCAGTGTGTTGTTTGCTCGCGCGCTCGCTGAAAACTCTCAGCTGCGGGTTCTATTTTTTCTGAGCTTGGACTGTGTGACAGTCGACTGTGGCAAGAAGCCGATTGACACTTTTATCCTAGAATGCTCGCGTAGGAGGACAACGGCAGCGGCTCGGTGGGCAGAAACCGGGAGACCCCATGAGTCTGCTGTGAACCTAAGGCCTTAGTCATGGGTCGACCGCTCGAAAATTACGACCCATGGGCAGACATACCAGCCGGCGGCTAAGCGGCGGGAAAAACGAGTGCATGAGTTGACTCATTCGTTTTCTCTCTCGTTCACAAAGTCACAAACTACTAAACTAACCCATTCGAACGTAGACCTCATGGAAGAGCTTGGCGAGAGCGCCACGCTTCGACGCGGGACGACATTCGGCTGAATGCAAATAGTCGCTTTCGGCCGGCGGCTGCGCCTCAGGAGAGCAGCTACTGTCCTGAAGGCTATTTTGAGCTGCTGGAGAAGATTATCAGCTCCGCCGAGACTCCTCGTTCCGCATAGGGATACATATTCGCGCTAAGGTACCATCAGCGAGCGCTCCGAAGGAGCGTGGAAGAGAGGAAGGATCCTGCCGAAACTACCTAGGTTTACGTCGATTATCGCGGTGCTGATCAGAAGGTTTTCGATTGCAAGGGATCGCACGGGTTGCTCATTGTGATTGGCTTCTGATACCGCTCTATCGTTCCAAGTACATTCGGGGATTTAGGGCGCCCGGCTAGCTGCGTGCATCCCAGAGCTGGAGGATTTCAGCTCATGCTCTCATGTCCCGTAATTTTCAGTTCGTCAACCGTCGAAATTTCAGACGCAATGAGGAGTTCGGAAGGGGGATCCGGAGACGAGCTGCGAAGTGTCAGCCACCGGTGGCGGCAGAAGATCGCTCGTTCTAAGTATCGTGGTTATCGACAGCGGGAGCTCCTAAGTCTTCGGTTGGCTCTTCCGGGAGACGATACTCGCATCATCGACTGTCTAGTTGCGGGAATGCGCGACTCGGTGGAAACATCCGTAGACTTGGGCTGCTATAATGAGGTCTCTCGACCCCTGATCCGAATGAGGCGGGTGCCCTCTGCCCTCCCGGGCTGGGTTTTCTCGACGCAGATCGCCAGACCCAGCGATGATATAGACTCAGAGCTCGACATTTTCTATTTTGGCTCAATCCGACCCTAGCGTATGAGGCTCCAACCATAGGCAGGTCGGCAGGGCCTGAGGAATCTACACCAGCATTTGCCCGTGGAGGATGTGCACAATGGGAACTAGTTCTCGATGGAGCCGGCCGCTGCGTTCGAATCAGTAAACTTCCGCACGAGGGAATGTCTACGTGTTCAATGCGAAAACGCTCCTAAGTTGCCGGTCGCCCGGACTTCGGGACTATCCCTCAGTCTGTCGGAGGATCTCTAGGGAGACCCTATTCAGAATAGATTATTTCAGTTCATGGGCAAACGAGGAGTCTTGATCATGTTGATGATCGTGAGCTCTCTCCTTGTCGCAGAATTTTCGGACCGACCCTCCAGCAGCTCTGTGGAACTCTAGGAAGATAACTTTTTCTTCTTCGAACTGGGGTCGTGTGCGGAAGGGAACGGATTGGATAGTTTTTTCAGCAACACGAAGGAACTGCTAGCCCCAATTCGGCAGCATGCAGAATTCATTTTCCATGTGTCCTCTATTCTTTGGCTCTGCTGACTCACTCAGTCTGACTGAATGAGTGAAAGTCTAAGAGAGCCTCCGACCGGATGCTAAAGTGTCGGAGGCGTCATTTCTCCAGTTCCAGACTGGACGACTATTATCGACGAGCTCTGCTTTCTCGACTTCTCCGAGACCGATCGCCTGGGCGAGAGGAAATAACAATATCTGTGGTTGTCCACAGCCGATGTTCCGCCCTGGCGAGGCGCTGCGGCTTTCAATCGTCGCTCTAAGTTCCAGCGAAGGCAACTCGGGAGACGTCGCACGGGCTCGAGCGTTCGCCAATTCTCGATAGCGAAGACTTTGAGGTCGAGATCGGTCGAGGAGAAACCGCAACTTCTTCCCCCTGTTTCCAGCGAAAGTGTATGACTCACTAGTTTTCCCAAAAACCCGTCGCGCTTTTCAAGGGAAAACTTCCTGTCGTCTCAATTGTGACGTCTCTCCAGTATGCAAGGGCATGCTCTGATCGAGTTGAGCTCCAAGAGCACCGTCGATTCTGAATTTATTCACCAACAGCCTGAGCAACCTTGTCGCTGCCGCTGTTCGATACCGCAGTGAATTGGGATCTCCGTGAGTAGGTACTTGCCGATGAAAGCCTCCATCGAGAGATTAGATGCCGATATTGTGACTCTGGTGAGCAGAGACCGACGAAAGGAATGGATTGTCCGTCATCGGTCTGGTGTCGATACAGAACGAGCGGCGGACACGTAAAAAGAAAGAACACCGGACAGATAGGCTCTGTTGCATTTGATGAAGCATTCCGTTCACCATCGGATGCTCTCCCCTTGCTCACGCCGCGCCGTGAAGAAGTTTCCAGACAGTGGATTCCGCTATTCAAAATGTTCTTCTGCATCTGCAGCGTTACACTTTTTTTGAGTTCGCTCTTAGCGCGGAGCCATGCATCGGAGGAATCTTACTTAGCGGCCCATCGCCTTTCGCAGCGATGGGTGTCATCGCTTCCACTTAGCCACACTTCAAGGCGCTACAATGTCGAAAGGGATTTCGATCGTTACGGACTTTTTGTTCTGCAGGCGAGTCCGCATGCAGCGGCTCACGGCGGAGACTAAGTGTCCCTCCGCGGAATTTTCGGCTCACACTTCATGCTGTAGAAAGTAAGCGGCTAATGATGGCAATCCCAGACCACGCGTTCAGGAAGTATCCACTTTCCTGGTCTGGTCCTCGAGGGGCATGATCGCTCATAGAGAGCTCATCGGCTCTGTCCGCGTGAATTAAATTCGATCGTAGGTTCACTCGAAACATTTCACGCTTCTGTCCTGGTACAGTCCGAAAACCGGGTCAACGAAGGAGAGTTCGCTCTCGGTGCGAACCGAGTCCAACGAGCGAACAGCTAGACTCGGAACAGATGATGAGGTTAAGCCGTTAGGCACGGGTTTGATAATCGAGTCTCGAATCCCAGCTGTACCTAATGATTCAGATTTTGATGTGAAGTCGAGCATGCCGCACATCGTGTAGTCCGCGATCGTTGGTAGGACTCGAGCGAGCGAATTATTTCGAGACAAGAGAGCCTAGCACAGCGAAGGAAATAAGTTTCGAGCTCATTCGCAATCTGCGGGCGCTACTGAAATAGCCTTTACCGCCATCGTACTATTAGTGATTTTTGAGGCCTTAGCGCGATCATGTACGATATTTTCCTCGATTCAAGACGCGACGTCGAGAGAGTTCCCCCGCGGTTTCTGTTCGAGCTCCCAGCTCAGTCGATGGTCCCGAACGCTTTCGTGAGACAATGTTCAAGACGATACTGTTTTTTTTTCCAGCGTCCGTCAACGGGTATTCCATCTTTTCCGCTGGTCCGCGGGTTCGGCCGTTTCGTTCGCTTCTTTTTGGTGTTAGCGAGAGCGACTGAGTGAGTAAGTGTGTGCCTCTCGGAAAGGTTTTCTCCGAGCTTCATTCCAAGAAAGGGAACGACGGAAAGAAAGCGAGAAAACTTCCCGACTTCTTTGGAGGGGCTGGCTTTTTCATGTTTTCTCTGCTCGGTGAATCTGATGCAGGATACTGGTGCCGGATCGCTCATCCGACGCTTCACACCTTCCGAGATGACTGTCCACGAACGTACTCCGTTTTTAGCTTCCGTTGTCTTTCTCAGTAGGGC